ATTCAAAATAAAATAAATAAACAAAAAACGAAAACACAAAGGTTTTAATTATTTTTTAAATGAAAATTTTCAAAACAACCAATGGAAGAGCGAACATTTTATTTAAATATAATTGAATAAAATACTTAAAGGGATCCCTAAGTGCTATAAAGATATGATCTCATATGAAAGAGCATAAAAAAAAAAAAAATGTTTAATGTATATTATTTTTTCTAAAATGTAATAATGAACACACACTAACAAATTTAATTTTCAAAAAAACGCTTTTCTTCGATTAAAAAAAATGCGTCTTGTCCAAAGTTTATTGACTCTATTGCCTCAAAAAACTAACGTTAGTACGTCAAATTAAACAAAGTAGACAAAATGTCATTATTGCAAACTTATTAGTTGGTAATTAAATTTAAAAGTAAAGTCGTTTTTTTTCAACTAACACATAATTACTTACAAGAATAAGTTTTGTAGCATTTTGTGAAAATATATTTATATTAAAATTTTTTTTATAATATTAATTTATATATTTGTATAAGGGCAATTCCACGGCTAAAAATGAATAGAAGTCAAATTTTAAACTCTTTTTAGTCAGTTAAAAACAAATGAATATTGACTTAGACATATGAAAGTTTATTTAAAATATTTCCTTAGTAAAAAAAAAATGAATTTCAGTAATTTTTATGGTTTCAAAAGTGACGGTTACTCTCATTTTTGCTTGATAAAAAAAATAATGATTGTAAAATGTTTTAGTTAAATTAACATTTATGTTAAATTGCTATATTTTTTTGGTTCAAATTGATAAGGTTGAATAGACATTTTATTAGAAATTAATCTAAGACAAGGCTCGAATTAATGCAAAAAAATCTAATCGCGAAAAAAAATTATTATTTTTTTGCTCTCTCCCCCTCCCCCCCCTCTCTCTTATAGCTCGCGCCGATGTGCGGTAATGGGGGGAAAAAGTTATCGTCAATAAATCAAAAAACATCCTCAAAAACTTAGATACCACGTTTTTTATAATTTATTGTTTCTTGAATAAAGGACTAATAAAAGTTTAAATATAATTAAGTTTTTCATTTAAATGGTTGATGTTTTTATTCAATTTTTCTATTTCAAGTTTTCCAATAAAAGATAAAACAAAAAAATTTGGTTTAATAAATCGAATTATACTTCATGTTTAAAATAAGGCTTAAAAACGTTAAAGTAAAAAAATTGCTGGTTTTAATAGCATATTTATACTGTTTGAAAAAAAAAAACTAATCAAAAAGAATTAACTAATAATATATTAATTAATAATTATATATTAATTCTTTTTTATTAGTTTTTTTTTTTTTTTCAAACAGTATAAAAATGCAAATAAAAGTCAGTAATTTTTTTTCTTTAACGTTTTTAAGCCTTATTTTAAACATGAAGTTTTTATAAACAAAGATAAAAACCAACTTTTCGCTTTGACGACCTTGTAAAAATTTTCCACGCAGAGATTTAAAGTAATTTAAATTCAAAAATGAATTACGTTGAAAGAAAATCTCCGCGCGAAAGAGCAAATCATCTATTCATCTATCTATTCAGAATAATAAATTTTGTGTGACGTTCTTTATGATAAAAACATTACTTTTAAGAATTGCTAAAAAAAATGCTAAGCTAGAAAAAAAGTAATTAATCAACCATCGCGATTAATACGAGCCCTGTAAGACTTTTTTATAAGTTCTAAACTATTTAAAACTATTACTTATAACTTTTTTTTAACGACGTCTTTCAACCGAATGCTATTATACTGTTTTTGCAAAACTAATTTAAAAAATTTGATTAAAACTTAACTATTTAATCACGACTTTTTTTTACTTGAAAATCGAAGTAGATATTCTAAAGTTGTTGTGACGTACTAACGTGATTTTTAACGACTAACAATCGAGTTTCAATGGTGAAAAAATAAAATCAAAATGGAGTTGTTTTTTAGTGATTTCGGCAGTTGCTTTTTGTTAGCATGCATTTATTATTACAATTTAGTGAAAAAGAAAAAAACCTTACATATTTTTTTTTTATGCGCTTTCATATGAGATCATATGTTAGGAGCACTTAGGGATCCCTTTAAAGTAAAAATATTAAAAAACAACTTTTAATTAACTTTAAATGTCTTTTATTTACAGTATTGTGCAAATTAGTTTGGACAGTGGCAAAATTGGAATAATTTTCACAATATGCCTAATTTTTAGCTATGATACTAAAGATTCTCTTGTTTTTTCAGATAAATAAGTGTTTTACTGTAGTCTAGTGGTGTCTGGCAACTCTTTGCTGCCGGGAAGACATTCTAGCAAACGCATCAGTGGCTTCAGTGCTACTCCAGGCTTTGTGCAGAAAGGTTGTGACAGAGGTTGTGACGGATTATTCACCATGTATTCACAATGGATATCATTCCCAAGAAACATGCAAGCATTATAGCTCTTAAAGAACACTCTGGTTTGAGCATTAGACAGATTTCTAAGAAAATGAAGGTGGCTAAGTCAATCTTGAAAAGAAAAAAAGACACTGGTGAATCTTCAACACTGCGACAAGGAAGATGTGGAAGAAAACGCAAGACAACACCTCGTGATGATACAGTTATCATCAAAGAAAGTATAAAGGATCCTAAGAAAACAAGTGCAGACCTTCAGAGAGATTTGTCCACATCAGGCGTAAATATTTCTTCTTCAACTGTCCGACGAAGGCTCCTTGAAGTTGGTAGATTTTTTATTCAGATATTTTCTCTTCATTGGTTATGAAGAGAAAACGTCTTCAATGGGCATGTAGGTATTCTCAATGGACAGCAGACGACTGGAAAAAAGTAGTATTCTCCGACGAATCGCATTTTGAAGTCCATGGCTACAGGTCAAAGTTTGTGAGACAAAGCAAAGGTGAACCGCTTCGGTCAGGACATATTCAACAAGCACCCAAACATCCACCTAAGAAGATGTTTTGGAGTAGTTTTAGTGCTAAAGGCCTTGGACAACTCATCAACATAAAGGGAATGATGAATAGTGATAAATACAAGGCTATTTTGAAGACTTATTTGCTTCCTAGTATGACAAGGGACTTTCCTGATGAAGATGGCATTTTTCAGCAGGATCATGCACCATGCCATACTTCACGTAAAATGCGCACATTCTTTGAAGAAAGTTAACTGGAGATTTTAGACTGGCCTGGAAATTCTCCAGACATCAATCCCATTGAAAACTTATGGGCTATAATCAAAGACTCCTGAAAAAAAACTGTTCAACAATGGCAAAGCTAATTAGTGCTGTAATTAGGACCTGGTATAACGATGAGCAAGTGACTAAAATGTGCTTAACTTTGGTCGAATCCATGCCAAATCGTGTTCAAATGCTTGTAAAAGCAAAAGGAGGTCATATCTTCTATTAATTATATCATATTTTGTACCATTAGCATGTTTTTTTGAATAAAACTTCAATGCGGCAAATAATTGTGTTATTTCAACCACTGTCTGAACTAATTTGCACAATACTGTATATAGTAAACAAAACAATTAAAATAAAAGCAGATAGCACGAAAGTTTCATTAACTCTAAATTATAATATTATTCAAATTGGCAATTTAATGTTTTATTAAAATTGGTTAAGTTAATGTTTTAATAAAATGCTAAAATGATGCATTGGTTATTAAAAGTTTTTGACTTTTGTTTTTCTGTCAATTTTATACTGAATTTTCCGATTTTGTCCACTTGTCGAGCTCTGATTCTGAATTTTTTGCCACATTTGCTGATATTGAACTTAAAATTTGTCCCTTTTGAAAATAACTTTACGTTGTCTTTGATTATCTGTGTTTGATTCCCATGAAGCTGCTTTTGGAAACATATTTTAAATAAAACTTAGTAACTTACAGTAATCTCAATGAAACTAATGTTAAGAAGATTCTATAACTAAAAATTTTTTGAGACTATTTTATACTTTATTATGTCTATAATTATATTTTAAAATGTTAAAAATATTTTTCATGATTTACCTCAACTATTTGAATTGAATACACATACTAAAAGAAAGTAGTTTTTTAAACTTTTTTTTTAACAAAATTATAACAAAAGCCTAAGAGAAACTTTTTAATGTTTTTTGTTGTGGATTTAACCACAACAAAAAACAACAATTTTATCTTAAAAAATTAGGAATAGTCTATAAGAAATTTAATTTTAAAAGTTAAGTAGCAAGTTAAATCTTGATATTAATTTTATATTTATTTGAATTTTATGCGTTTTTTTTTTTTTTTTTTTTTTTTTTTTTTTTTTTTTTTTATATGATTTTTTTTCAACTAAAATTCTTTTTAGTAAAGTTTAATTTTAATTAAATGCAAACAATATATTTAATTTAATTGTTTAATTTGATATTCTGAGATAAGAGTTTTAATATATTATTTCTATTCAATTATAGACATTAAGGCAGCAAGGATTACGCTTAGAAAATCGTTCTCAATTGGTAACAGTATGTGAGATGGGATTGCAAGTATTTCTTAACTGTGCTGGGTTTATAAGAATTGAGCCTTCAGAAGCAAATGATAAATATGAAGTTCTTGATGGCACTCGAATACATCCAGAAACTTATGACTGGCCAAGAAAGATGGCTATTGATGCACTTGAATATGATGATGTATGATTTTTATGTAACAATTATATGTGTGTATGCATATATATATATATAATATATATATATATATATATATATATATATATATATATATATATATGTGCACACATTAAATGTTTAATGTTTTTAGGGCATGGAAGAATCTAATCCATCTTCTGCTGTAGAAGAAATTTTAGAGCAACCAGATAGGCTCAAAGATTTAGACTTGGATGCTTTTGCTGAGGAGTTAGCAAGGCAAGGTTATGGAAACAAACAAATTACATTGTATGACATTAGAGATGAACTAATAAACAGATTTAAAGATCATCGGCCAACTTTTAAAGGTTACATTTTTATTTCCTAATTTTTGGTAATATTAAGAATATTAATAACAATTTTATTTTAACATTTTTATTGTCAACAATTATAATGCATTATAGCAATTGTTTTGATTTGTTTCAAGGCTTATCTATTGAAGAACGGTTCCAACTACTAACTGGTGAAACACAGCAATCTTTGTATTATGGTAAAATGATTACTTGTGTAGTTACAGGTTTTGCATGTAAAAAACCTACTAGAGAACAGTTAGACTCTGCTAACCCTACTAGAAATGATGAAACAAATTTATGGAGATGTCCTTTCTGTTTACGAGACAATTTTTTTGAACTGAGTGAGGTAAACTGATTTTTTTATGGCCAGGCTTTATAAATTACTATCAGTTTTTTTAACTTTTGTATACTTTATATGTTGTTATAATTTAAGATTTCTCTTCTGTACTCTCTAAACTATTTAACAAGTATTTAAAATGTTAGAATATTAATTTTTATAAAAAATTTTAAAAAAACTTTACAAATATCTTCTTTCTATATACATTTTTTTTTTTTAATGTTAATTCAACTTCCCATGGGTGGAAAAGGCCACTAGAGGCAAGAAGGCTACTTTATTGTGGTTATAACCCTCTCTTAACTCAGAAACTCTCTTATAATTCAGAAATACGAACCTTGATGAACAAGGCCACTGATCAGAAAAACAAGTTAAGCGATAAAGTTTTTCTTCTTAGACTTGTAATCCCCACCACATCCCCACCAGGGACGTGGTAGGGATTAAACTCAGAAACTCTCGTTTATGAAGCGAGCGAGCATTCTGCCACTACACCACTACCGCATATATGTTTACGTATATGCGGGTGTAGGTATATGGGTGTAGGTTTTAACTTTTTTACGCGTGTAGGTTTTAACTTTTTTTTGGAATTTAAAATACCACTATGTAAAAAACTGTTCACTTTAAAGATCACACAAAAAAGTTTTATGCAAATAACATATTTTAACATTTTTTTGGGTTATATTTTGAAAATCAATGGTATATAAAATAAAAACAACTACATAAAAATATTTCTTTGTTTTAACATATTTTTATTAAAGATGACTTAATTTTTTGTAGGAAATATTTGTAGATATTAATTTGCAATGTTGTCTGACTGCTGATAGGGTATAAGGGTATAAATAAACCAACTTTCCTATGTAATCAAATTTTTCAATTAAGTGTTATCATTAAGAGCAACAACAGTTGGCTTTTCAAAATTTATTAATTCTATTTTTGTCCCTTTATGCTAAAGTAAAGTTTCTAAAATGGCTGATTTAGTTTGCAAATCAAGATGTCAGTCAGCTAAAACCATAGTATTTGTTTTATGAGACTAGTACCAAGAATGAGCTTGCATATACTTCAACAATGCATTACCTGCCTTTAAGTTTCATTCTTTTTGTATAATTTATGGATTATACATGGCTCTGAATTTATTTAAAACAGAATGCTTAGCAAGGCTAGAATTCAAAACCATTCCATGGGTGCATGGAAAATTCCATTTATAAAACACATCTTAGAAACATATTCTTTTTGTTGTTCATATAGATAATTAATTACTGGTGATGAAATTTTAGGAACCAGGTGATATTTGAAATCTGCCATAAAACGAACGACATTACAGGCACCAGGCTTATAAATTTTGAAATCTTTTAACTTATTAGAGTTAATGTTAAAAATAAAAACCAAAATATTTTACAAGGTGCTTGTAATAATCCCTTTTAAAAATTGTTTTTTCAAAGGAAACTCTATAGAATTCTTTGTTTGAAAATACAAACTGTGTATATGCCTGAGCCAAAAGTAAATGAGTTCTCAGAAAACCGTTATCAGAAAATCTATTTGCTAACATCAGGAACAAAAATTAATGACAAAAATTCCTCCCAATCCCTAAAATTGGGAAAAAGTTATTAGTTGGACCTTTGCTTTTAATCCCAGTTTGGATATATGGACTTCATTGGAACTGGCTTCACTCTGCTTCAAACTCATAATTTTAGAATCTATATAAAATATAAACTATAAAGAAGTTTAAAAAAAGTATAATATAAATAATTTAATGAAGCAAATAAATACCTTCTAAACATAAACTTGTTTTTTTGCAATTCGGTTCTTCTTCCAAACCATAAGCACCTTTGTATTCTTCATACCATTTTTGTACCTCTCCGTTGTCCTTTTAACTTTTAATTCTAATTCCTTATTTCTAATGAACTGACCTCTTTCATTCCTCTGATCTTTGATTAAGGAAAGATCATTATACTCTTTTTGTTTTTAGGCATATATATAAGCTCACAGATAAGTTCTTCTATGTTTGCTATGCCAATATCACAAAGACCTTTTATTGTACTTTTAAAAAAATTTCATATAGTTATATAATAAAATGCTCTACACATCAAATTTTAATATATTATATCATTATACAAATCCACACATTACAAAATAATTTTTGTCTTTACATGAAACTTTATAATTTTTTGTTCTTTGCTGTCTATCTTCCAAGTTAGTTTTTGTTAGTTTTTGTGCTATAAGCTGTCATTTTTTGTGAAGTGTTACAAACATTTCAAGAATTTTTGATTCAGAAATTAAATAGTTACCGAATCCGCAAGGTTTCCAGAGGTCTACTATTTTTTCGGAGGAGAAAAGTTTTCATTTTTTTGCTGACAAATTTATATTTACAACTATTATATATATATATATATATATATATATATATATATATATATATATATATATATATATATATATATATATATATATATATATATATCAGGGCCTATTCTAGGAAAAAAATTTGGGTGGTGGTACCCCCTTGTTCCAGCAAACTTTAGCGGAAAATCGGCAGTTTTTTCGCAAAAATTACAATATTTGCACTCAAATACGGTCAGCGCTGTTGAAAACGGTCTAGAATAGCCCCTGTGTATATATATATATATATATATATATATATATATATATATATATATATATTGAGCGCTGTAACCACATCCAGCGGGATAGCCTAATGTCCGTTTTGTCGTTGTGACGTACATTGGAAAAAGTCGGGGCTCACCAGCCTCAAAGAATAAATTTTTGCTTATGCGACACAATGATCGCTAAAAGTGACCAACGGAGCCGTCCAGTTACATAGACCTGGGAGATGTGAAAATAAAAACAGATTGAAGATGATGTCATTTAGGTAAAAAAACATAAATTAATGCAAAGACTATTTAGTTGGAAGAGTAAAAGTAAGCAACTCAGGATAAGGGGAATAAAAACTCACACTCTAGTCATCTTTTAACAAATGATGAAATAATGATCTATGAGTAAACAAGTCAATAAAAATCCGCTGGTTTATAATGGTATTCATAACTAAAATAATTGCACCATACAAGTGTCTAATAAATGTGGTACTATATATGTTCTAAACTCTAGATAAAAAATTGATAACTGATAATCACCTGTGTAACATAAAATATATATAAATGTTGTAAATGTAACAAATTCATAATAAAAAGCTCATAAAGCGCAAAAATACATGGGTTTAAGAGGTAAAAAAATGTTGGTGCCATAATAACCAATTAGAATTAAGTAGTGGATAAATGGTGACCCCCCTCCTCAGGAATGCACTGCGATCACCAATGACGTTTCGGAGAGCCCAAGACCTGCACTAACACCACTCGTCAGGGGCGTGTCCTTGCAACAGATCTCACCGTCTGCACTCTACGTCATGCTAGTCAATATTGCAATATAATAGGACTACACTACAAAAGCCAAAAAACCAATCCCTATCCTAGTTTTTGAAAACAGCTTCAACATTCTTAGAGATCTCGTGAGGGTGGTGAGGAATGCGCGTGGTGTGACCATAAATAGATATGTAAACACATATAAATATAAGGTACCCTTACATTAGAAGAAACAAACTTGTACACATGTACGTATGCGCGTGTGTAAATAAACAATTATAATGTGTAGAAATAACAAAAGGCGAATAGAAAATAGTAATTAATAACTAATAGTAACTTACCGTTTCTTTTATGGCTGAAATATGTATTATAAATATAATAAGTTAATACCACTCATAAGCATTGATACTAAGTTAAGATGTTTTGTGGTTAGTACGAAAGTAGTTAAACGAAAGTATGATAAAAATATATATAACTCTAAATAGTATGTTCTCATATAAATCTTGCCTGGTAAGTAGAGACGATAGCTATCACACAAAACAGACTCAGAGTAATTAAATAACGATTAGCCAGAGATAAAAAAATATACGAACATCAAATCAGTAGGCAGAAAATAATGAGGAAATAAAAAGATAAGACAATATATGCGATTTTAAACTAATAGCTTATAACCACTAAAAAATGTAACGTTAAAAAACAATATTGTTGACAAAACGACCAAAGGAACGTTAGTGAAGACTGTATAGTGCAAACCACAACAAACTAACTTAGCGACGTCAAATTGAGAAAATTTAATAGAAACAAAAAAACCTAAAGAAATCGTGATTAGTCTAAACTTATCTAATGAAATTGTTCAGTATATTCCAACCAAGAATACATTTGTTATAAAAAATACGCAAATACGTCTTTTTGTGTAAAACTTTCGCGCTGTTTTACTTCTCACAAATATACGGCCTCATTCACACATAACACAAATCTGAATAAATATACAAGGATAGGGTAAAATAAGATTATGAACAAAAGTATATAATAAAGAACAAATATTTGATATACTGGTTTTAGAGGCCGTTCATGTCTACAGGTGTGATGGTGTAGTGCATTAGTATGTGCCGTTTGGTCGTCTAGTATGGTCTCGTTATGTCTTCGTTCACTTTTAAATCGGGTGAATAGAAAGCTAAACACACTCACTCCTTGCGCTTATGGGCTAGCACATCAGAGCCAGACGTGAAACCTACAGAATGGATTTCAATTGATCGAATGCACACATTAGTCACCGTAGGCCACAAGCCATCACTCTTAGCCAAAAGAGCTACTGCCCCGTGCTGGTGTGGAATGATGTGCTATGGAGTGAGATTTCAGATCCGAGCACATAGTCAGCGAGCGCTGATCCGACGTGCATTGTGGAGCTTCCGACTGAACGTGTGCGTGAGTGTCAGCGTAGTCATTAGGTTATTGAGCGCCGTAACCACATCCAGCGGGATAGCCTAATGTCCGTTTTGTCGTTGTGACGTACATTGGAAAAAGTCGGGGCTCACCAGCCACAAAGAATAAATTTTTGCTTATGCGACACAATGATCGCTAAAAGTGACCAACGGAGCCGTCCAGTTACATAGACCTGGGAGATGTGAAAATAAAAACAGATTGAAGATGATGTCATTTAGGTAAAAAAACATAAATTAATGCAAAGACTATTTAGTTAGAAGAGTAAAAGTAAGCAACTCAGGAAAAGGGTAATAAAAACTCACACTCTAGTCATCTTTTAACAAATGATGAAATAATGATCTATGAGTAAACAAGTCAATAAAAATCCGCTGGTTTATAATGGTATTCATAACTAAAATAATCGCACCATACAAGTGTCTAATAAATGTGGTACTATATATGTTCTATATTTTTTATGACAAATTAAAAAAAAAGAGTAAAATTAAATCTTCTCATGATTTAATTGCTTTATATTTTTATTTTCTCTTTTTACAAAAAATTGTTTAAAAGCTTTTTTTTTTAAACTTGAATTAAATCATGATTAAAAATGACGATATTAAAAAAAATGGCGGTATTTTTTTTAACAAACTTTTTTACAACTTTTTGAAAAAAATGTTTATAAAAATTTGAAATTTGAAATTTTTTTCTTTTCAATAATAAATAAATTTGTTCATTTATTAAACAATCAATAGGAGTAATTTGTAAAAGTGCTTTGCGTAACTTTTATTAAACGTTTTAAAATATCAGTTTTTAAAGTAATTTATTTCAAATGCAATTAAAAACGTTACTAAAAGTAACATTTTTAATTTCATTTTTCAGCGCATTTCTGAAACGTTTATATCATCAAAACATTTAAACAGTCATGGTCAATTTTTAAACAAAAAAATTCATTGGTGTGGTCAGCACAAGCGTTCGATCACATGCCGTTTTTGTCCAAACTTTTTTTTGTAGAATTTAATGCCTGTCGGTCAAAATATCAGATTACTTTGTAAATTAAGCGGACAATCTGAGGTTTTAGCTGGACAATGTCCGCTATCTGACTGTTAAATCGAGCCCTGATATACATACATACATACATTAGTTGTGAGTGTTAAAATGATTTATATACAATATTATTTACAGGTTTGGACACACTTTGATAATGGAAGCTGTCCAGGTCAATCTATTGGAGTCCGAACTCGATTAGAAAATGGGATAAATGGCTTCATTAGTACAAAGAACATTAGTGACAAGGGTTGTAAAAGACCAGAGGAAAGAGTAAAGGTTTCTGCTTTTTTTTATTTGTTTAACTTTCAATACATATTTATATATATACAATTAATTCCCAGTTAGTCGAACGCCAGTTAACTCGAATTTTGATTATCTCAAACAGTTTCATTTGGTTGAAATCAACTAATTGATTACTATAAACAGTTAAGTTGAACCTTGAATATAATGATAGAATTGTTATTTTTATCGTTAGCATTATTATTATTATTTTGATTATTATTACCAATAACTAGCGTTTTTATTATTATTGTCTATTATTATTACTGATACTTATATTACTATATTATTTATAATGTTGTTACTGTATATTATTACAATCTACTTCTCTTTTATTTCTATATTTTAATTAGGTATATAAAAATCTCATATTCTAGATAGATGTATAAAAGTAAATTAAATTTTGTCCTAAATTTATTAAATTTCTTTCTTCATTATTATTCCATAAAATGTTTTGTTAAAGTGTTGTACTGTTTTATGTTTTTTTTTTATAATTATTATTATGGTGTTTACTACATGTAAATGTTCCATGAAATGTAAAATCTATTTCAGAATATATTTGATTTGATTTAAAGACAAATCGTGATAAAACTGTCAAAAAAACAAATTTAATGAATTTCTAAATAAAAAACTGCTAACTTTTAGACGCAATTTAATTAATAATAAGTAATAAGTAAGTCATTGTGTCAAATGTTATCTTTTGTCTGTACTACATGAATACAATCTGTAAATTTAATGTAAATACTTTAGCATTGAATGAAGAAAAATTGTCTCGAACTACTATCCCACATCAGTCAAAGTTCGACTTAATCAAAGGCATTCGCTTTAATCAAACATTCCTGAAGTTGAATCATTTTTCTTGGTCTTGGTCATCTTTTTCTTGGAATTATATATATATATATATATATATATATATATATATATATATATATATATATATATATATATATATATATATATATATATATATATATAGATAGATAGATAGATAGATAGATAGATAGATAGATAGATAGATAGATAGATAGATAGATAGATAGATATAGATATAGATAGATAGATTAATTTTAGAAGTACAAATATTGATGAATTTTTAAATTGTTCATAAAAACTAGGTTGGCATGACCCTTCATGCTAGAGTAATAAAAATTAATTATGAGCGCATACAAGTTGATCTTACCTGCAAGACATCAGATCTAACAGATGCTCATGGAAATTTTAGGTATTTATCTGTAAATAGTCTTAAATATATATTTATATATATAAGCCTATTTATATATTCAAATATGTATAATTTTTTGTAATTTTATTTCTAAATAATAATCATCAAATATCAATTCACTGAAAAAATTTTGAACCTTAATAAAATATTAGACAATATTAATTGTATTTTGTATTAAAATATTTTTTGATATGTTACATTACTTGTCTGATTACTGTGATATCAAGTGAGATCAAATCTGTTAGACCAAAGTTTGCGGATATCAAGTGTGAAATTTGGTTTTTTGAATCCATACAAAGTTTTTATATGAACATTTTTAATTAACAAAATTTATTTATCATATTCATTTATCATGTAATATGTATAATAATTATTTAGTCCACCGCGTGACATGTATTATGATCAGGAAGCAGCAGATAAAGACAAAAAAGCTGAAGAACTTTTAAAAATTGCTTTAACTAAAAGAACCAGTACGTAAAAGTACTTTTTTGTTTAAATAGTTTTAGAGTTTATTTTGCAAATTTCACAATTTGTTTGTATTTTTAGCTTATGTGAAGCGTGTTATTGCTCATCCATCATTTAAGAATGTCACTTTTAAAGATGCTGAAAAACTTCTTGAAACAATGGATCAGGGAGAGTGCATTGTTCGACCTTCAAGCAAGGTTAATAGCTATTTACTTATAATTATAAAAGTTTAAAAAATTTTAATAGTTTTTACTTTCAAACTTTTTTTAATATTATATATTTGTCAATAATTAGGATAGGATTTAATATCTCAGTAAGTACTCAGTTACTATACTTCCCAGTGTACTACTTCATTTCCTATTGTTTTAATCTTTCATTAGGTACTAAATACTATACTTCCCAGTTCATTCCCAGTTACAGTAAATATTATATTTACTATAAATAAACAAAACAGTTGAGTGTTAAATGAGCATAAAAAAGTAAATAGAATTAAATTATTTGATAAAAATAATTTTTTTTTAATATGTTTGGAAATTTTAAAAGTTAAAAAAAAATTTGTAAAACATAGCGTTTTACAAAATTTAAAACTACTAATCTGTTATTTGGAGGTTGAAGTCTCACTTGAGTATACTTTTACTAATATTATATATATATATACATATATATATATATATATATATATATATATATATATATATATATATATATATATATATATATATATATATATATATATATATATATATATATATATATATATATATATATATATATATATATATCAATGCAATCGCACTCTGTAACTTACAATGCTAATATTTTTATTTCTTTACAACTTGACCACGGCTATTTTGATGTTTTAACAATTTGAATGCAATAAAAAAAGTGTTAGGTTATAAATATCTTTTAATCGTTGATCTTTTCTAAAGTTTTTTATTTTATGCAAAGGCTTTAAATAAAACCATAAAATTAATTATAGTTATTTTTTACATAAACACTTGTGCAAATTAATAAAAAACATTATAAATAATTTTTTTTTATGTAGGCATTTATTTTTTATGATAAATTTAAACGTTTGAAACTATTTTCTTATGCCTTCCTAAAACATTTTTAAACCATTATTTTTCGAAATAACTTTTTTAAGTTACTTTAATTTGTGAATAAGTTCAAAAGCTTTTGTGACGACTAACTTTTACACATTTTATGTGAATTACACAAGAATATAAAATAACTTTATTTACTTATATAATCATGTATTTTGTTGATTTAATGAAAAAGTTTTTTAACATTTTGTAATGTTCATACGATTAATTTTTATGATTAAACTTACGAATTTTTTAAATGTTTTAAACATTTTATTTTTTTAAACAATTTTTTTTTTTTTTTAATTTCGTTAGAAATGAATGAGATTAAATCTTTTATAATAGTATTGATCTTATTAATTAAAAATAATTAACAAAGGAAATTTTAAAAAACTGGTGTCACTCTTCCTGAGTGATTTTTCATAACGTTTACCAAATTGAAAGCAGTTTTTTTACAAGACCAAGAGCAACTTTAAAAATTTATAATAGTATTACAACTTTACTCTTACTTATTTGAGTTATTTAATAAGAAAATCTTTGGTTTGTTAAAGTTTTTACTTATACTTCTTATGTTTATGCATATTGCCTTATTTTCATTAGGTTGAATTTTAAAAATACATTTAAATCTTTTAAAATATTTTTTTGCATAAAAACCGCTATCACAGTTTAGGAGGGATTGTGGTTCAGGTATATGTGATCATTGGAAATGTGATATGAATGTGATAGGAGGAAAGGGGTTAAAAATTGACAAATATAGGGTATCGTGCTTTATGGATAATCTTCCTTAATTGCATTTACAAACGATTTGTTTTACTAAAACAAAACAAAAAAAGGTTCTAACTGATTTTTTTTATACTAGTGAAATAGCAAATAAATCTTCATCTTTTTTTTTTTTTGAATGTCTAAATAGAAATGTTTATATAATTCTTATATTTATTTTTCTTATGTGTATTTATATGTCAACCTAAATAAGAATACATAAACAAATAAAAAAAACAATATAAGTAATTTAAATTAACATTAAAAGAAAATAAAAGTTTTTTTTTCTAAATTCTCCCAATATAAAAAGTTTCAGTTAGAACCTTGTCAAACCAATGTGACAAAATAAGAATTACTTAATGACGTAATTCATTTTGTTAACAAAAAAGACCTAGAACTTTAGTAAATGCATTTAGTTTTAACTTATGTTACACAAATTTAAAATTAAAATGTGCTTTAACTAAGCATCATTTTTCAAAACTTTATATGTAAAAATGTAATATTTAATATATCTTTCGCGTATATTACTAAAAAATTAGGTTTTTAAACTAAATTTTGGAAAAAACAAAACTTTATCATGTTTTTGTTAATTTATATTACATGAAAGTTACAAAAGTTCTTTCATTATTTTCTTGAAATATATTTTATCAAGTATAAAGTCTGACCAACAACAGTTTGAATATGTTAGCTCCATTTTCATGCTAAATTAATTCTGGTTATGCAAATAAATGGTTAAAATTTTTACAATGATACTCTTTTTATCATGAGAAAAACTTTCTGAAGTATAAAAATGACTTAAAAAACTTTGACGATCGTATAAAAAAGCACTTACCAAAATGCCAAAAGCATTTTGTTATGAATTGCAACAAATCTTTTTTGTTTATTTGCGTAACTTTTATAAAAAATGGCTTTTTTTTTGCCAGTTTTATTTAAAATTATTTTATCTCGCATTTACTCAAAGCATTCTTTTCGCTATTTTTTTTTTAAATTTAAGTAGAAAAAAAAATGAATTTTTTAAAATTGCGTAGGCTAACTTAAAAATGACCATTCTGCCAGCGCTTTTTCATGCGCTGGCATTAAATTTCAAATGAATAAAACTGCCTTAGCAAATTAGGTTTTAGGTTATTTGGCTTTTATTTGGCTTATGTGTTCTAGCTTCTCCAGAGTTTTGTTCTTTTTAAGCATTTTTATTGTGTACTATTATTTCATCGTTTACTGCAGTGCTTTTATTTTGTTCTGAACATCTGTTAAGAACAAAATAATTTTATATTTTATACTGCAGTTTTTTTATATTTTATACTGTAGTTTTTTCATATAATTGTTAATGTTATAAAAATAAAAATGCACAGAATCTATAAATTTAAAAAAAAATTTCACTAATTTATTTCAAATAAGTTAGTGAAAAATTCTTATTTTTAAGAAATATTTTTTATAATAAAAAGAATTCTTAACTTGAAAATTTTAACTTTTGTTGGTTTTTTTTAATTTTTTTTTTAATTATAAATAATATTTATTACTAGTGTATTTTTTTTTTTAAGGGGACAGATCATTTAACAGTAACATGGAAAGTAGACAATGGAATTTATCAACATATCGATGTTCGGGAGGAGGGTAAAGAAAATGCATTTAGTATTGGCAGATCATTATGGATTGACAATGAAGTAAATAATTTTTTTCTTTTTAATTTAAAAAAAAAAAAAACAAACTATTTTAGAACAATACAGTAAAGTCTTATCAGCTTGATCTCCAAATTAGTTTTAATAATTTAAACTTATGGCAGTTAGATCTATTTTTTTTTGGACTCACAAATCATATTATAATATAATAAGGAAAATGCCAATCCTCTTTGGAAAGTGTTTGACACAATACTCTTGGCAGCCATTGCAACGAAAGTGTATGCTAATATCTAACTTATGCAAATATCTAACTTTTTTCAAATTGTGTTAAAAACATGTTAAAATATATATCAAGTTTATCAGTTTTAATTTCACTTGAAAGTTGCATTGCGGCAACATTTGATCAGTAGCACTTAATTCTGTTTGATAAAGTCTTTAATATATTATATACTTTTAAAATTTATGTTAGACAATAAGTCTGCGTAGCTGAGTAGTTAGCACTCTGTGTCAGAAAGTCCAGGTTCGATTCCTACCATCGGCTTTTTTTTTTTTTTTAATTTAATCTTTTTCGATTTTTCTAAATTATAAAGTAAAACGCTTTTGAAGAAAAAAGTTTGTTTTGAAAGAAAGTAGGTTGTTTTGTTTTGCATTTTAAATAACAAATATTAAAAAAAAAAAAAAAAAACAAGCTGATGATTTGAACATGCCTCGCAGCAACTTTCACTTTTTTTTAAACAATAAGTGGGTTTAAAAAATATGTTTTTATTAAGAACATAATTCAAAATTCTAACTTTATATTTAAAATAAACTATTTTAATAAAATTATAATTTTTAAAAGTAATAAAAAGTTAAAAATATATTATAGTAAGGTAATATGGAAATTTAAAGTTTTACAGCTATTTTACCACATCCCCTTTAATCATTCTAAAATCAGTGCGCAACAATGACAGAATTTAGATAACTATCAAAATAGTATTATACTCTGTATAATATTGGAAGGACTCTGATGCTTTTAACTGATAAGGCACAAGGCATTGTAGATATAATGTATAAATGTACACGCTGTAAATATGATACACAGATTTACACGCTGTTAGTTTTTTATATTTCCTATTTTACTTTTATAAATTTCTGAAATATCTTTGAATCTTCTACTATCATTATCATAAATTAAATAATTATTGAATATACTTTTATTTGTAAATAGTATGTATTTTTTAATTTTTTAATTGCCTATGCTAATAACCTGTAAACTTCAAGTTATGTAAATTATATTAAATTTTACAGATTTACTTTTACTTGAAAATTTCATTTCGGCAATATCTCCTTCATTTCGGCAATATCTCCTTCATTTTGATTTATAGCATTTATATGCTATAAATGTTTTATAAAGTTTAATAAGTCTTTGGTTTATAAACAGTTTTAAAAGATGGTAAAGCATACTAAAGTGGTTGAAGTGCTTTGTGTGGCTTAAAATCCTTTTGCTTATAAACTTAATTTTTTTTAATTTTTTAATTTTTTAGAACAAAAAATTAAATATTTTTAAAACACTATAGATATTATATGCATAACATATATAAAAACATTACATACTATAACAAACAAAAGGGAGAGATTTTTTTAAAAAGCTTTTTAAAATTTCTAAAAACATGAAAACATCGTTGGAAATTTTTTGCACATATGTCATGGTAGAGATAAAGATAAGTTAATTATAAGCGCCTAAAGTTTATGTGCTTATAATCAATTTATTATTGTATATGATAAACAACTTACATTGTTAATGTGCTTAAGCAATTAGCTTACGCACTTAACATGCATTAAAGAGACAATTTTTTTATAGAAAAAACATTTTATACTCCAACTTTAACTTTCTTCAAAATTAATGGGGCAAGAGACCTAATAAACTGCGGATGGTCTGAAAAAAAATTAATAGAAACTTATTATAGAAAAAAATAATCAAGCCCCTTCCCGCTTTACTTTTGTTCTTTATTTTTGTAGAAGTTATAAAATATTAAACAAATCCTTAACTCAAAACAAAAACTGAAAAAACTGTTTTTATGTTTGTTATATGTTTTTATTTAAAATGTGACAGATAGCTAACTGATTATATATAATAAAGCATATATTTATATAAAATCAATAGTGTATCCAAATAATACATTTTATATGCATAGCAAAAAAAATTTGGAAATATAGAAAAAAGATCGAGTCATTTTTTTTTGGCATAATTTTTTTTATATGTTTTTAAACACTTTATTAATATAAAGTTTCTTTATGAATTTTAAAAGTTTCATATTTTGTTTTAATTTTTTAATGTCTATTAGGAGTATGAAGATCTTGATGAAGTCATGGCTCATCATATTTCTCCGATGGCCACACACGCTAGAGAATTGTTAAACCATAAATATTACAAAGAAACTGGAGGTGTAAGAGCAAAACTTGAAGAGATTCTTACACAAGAAAAAAGAAAAACTCCTGGACGCATACCTTATTTTTTTGCTAGCAACAAACAGTATCCTGGAAAATTTATGTTAGGTATATATATATATATATATATATATATATATATATATATATATATATATATATATATATATATATATATTGTTAGTGTATTCTACGAAAAGAGTGCTCAATGTTCTTAAAGAACAGAGCAGTAAATAATTAGTAAAAAAAAAAATTAATTTTTATCTTCTACATTTATTTCATTGTGTAGGATCATCAGGAAAAATTTATTTTTATTTTTATTAGGATGAGTTATTCTTGATAAAATTTAAAATAGAGCATAAAAGTTAAATTAGTGTTTGTTTGATTTTTTCTGATATAATATGCTTAAAGAAAAATGTAGTTTTTGTAGTCCTGATATTATCAACAGTCATTAATTAATAGCATATATTGACATATTCATTTTTAATGAGCAGCACATGGTCAAAATAAAATTGAATTTTTTTTGCGTGTGTTAACCTATAAAACACAATAATAAATTTAAAAAATAAAAGTTTTATAAATGTTTAAAAAAAAATTTCAAAAGTTTTAGATTGACAAATTTTTGGCACTGTAGTATGATTGCTGTCTTGCCACAAGTGATGTGTTTTTGTTCTAAAACTATTCTTAAACTTTTTACTTAGTGAGAAGAATGAGCTGAAATACATATTTAGTATCACTATGATTTTTTTATTTAAAAACAACATTGTTTTTAATGCGCTCATGATGCACATTTGATGGTTTTAAACGCTTATGCAGTCATTTAAAGTTATAATTTGCGCTTGACAAGTTTTTGTAAGGATTGATGATGCATTTATAGATGTCAAAATTTTCTTTGTGATTTTGATTTTTTTTTTAATATATATTTTGTATGATCTGCTATTTCAGAAATTTTATCTGTACCAACACAAATAAGATGGTTCCTCAACACAAAGTAACGTAAATAAGATGGTTCTTCAATAAATAAAATTCACATTGTAAAATGAATGTTACAAGTTCATTAATTCATATAAAAACTACAAAATATCTCAAAATTAAATAATGTTAATGGTATAACAAATTATTATAAATATTTTTATCAGGTTATATGCCACGTTTAAAGCCTAAAATTGAGTTTGTTACGGTAACACGAGATGGTTTTCGTTACCGTGGAAGAATACATGCAAATACTAATAATCTGCTAAAATGGTTTAAGGAGCACTTTCGAGATCCAATTCCAGGAGTTGGTAAGTTTTTTGTTTTTAAAAAAGTTGTAGGTTAACAAAGTAACAAATAATAAATAATTTGTTAAAATATTAATAAATAAAATGTTAATAATGTTAATAAATAAAAAGTACAAATGAAAATATAAGTTTTCAAAGAAATGGTAAAATAACATATAATAAAAAGTTTCAACTTATTCAGTTTCACTTTTTACCTAACTTTCCGTCATGTTGCAACATTACTTTAACATTTTTGAAAATAAAAAGGTTAACTTCCCATCATGTTGCAGCAACGCTTTAATATTTAAGTTACACATATATATTTACAATATGAAAAAAAGTATATTATATTGTTTAAAATAAAATGGAAAAGATACCAGATCAAAATATAAAATTTTTTTTATAATTTATATCATTGAATATCAAAAGAAAGAAGACCAAGGTCTCATTAAAGAAAATCAGATTTTGTTTAAGTTGTACTACTTAGGAAAACAATATGAACACTGCTATTACAGCAAAATAATAATGTATTCAAAGTACAGCATATTCAGCTGCATTGGCTAATGTCATTAATTCAGCTAGTAAAAAAGGACTTAGATATTTCTCAAAGTGTTGTGGTTAATGATATCTTTGATATTTCTCAAAGTGTTGTGGTTAGTGATTTCAAAATAATAAGATTTCATTTTGACACAAAAATAGTAAAAAAGTATTTTTCTGATGGCAATAGAAATATTGATGGTATAGTGTTGGTGATTTCAAGACTAAGTATTAGCAAATAACATTTTATTGAATTTCTTTTTATCGCATATTGTTGTAGAATAACACAAGTGATATCTATTAAAAAACAATTTACTGTTTATTAAGTTAATTTAATTGCTCTGGAATTCAGTATTCAGTACTCTGGGATTTACTTTTTTAATCTCTGAGAATTGGTAGGTATTACCTTCCGGACAAAAAAAAATGAGACCGTGTACGCAAAACTTTTGTTAGTATCTTTACAATTTTTGCAGAGTCATGACTTTTTTTGTATTTCATGAAACCCATGGTTTGATTTATCAGGTGCATATATATTCATAAAAAAATATGTGTTCATTATTATTTCTGATTTACCTGAAAATATTTAATTTAGAATTGAAGTCATCAGCTTTGACACTTGACTATCTTTTTAAAGAGGGTCATAAAGACCTAAAGTCTTTGATGAAATTAACTAGGATACCTAAGGCAACAATTTCATGATATTTAAAGAAAATGAGGGAAGTAATGAGCTTGGAGTGGAAAAAAAAGGAAGTGGTAGACCAAGAAAACTTTCTTTAAAGGACCAGCAATGATTGATTCAATTAGCTCGAAATGATGACACACTCTCAGAACCATTACTCGTTATCTTAACTGAAGTGGGCACTTAAGTTTTGTTCCCAAAAATCAACCCCCATTGACTCCTGTTCAACAAGAAAATAGGGTAAAATGGTGTGAAGAACACCTAAGAACAAGATGGAATCAATGGATATTTAGTGACGAGAGTTTTTGAGTTATTTTGACCTCGAGAAGGTTGATGGGCAAAGAAACGGCAGAGAATTGGCAAACCAAAGTTCAAACAGAGTCTCATGGTTTGGGGCGAGATTAGTTCCAATGGTAAAACACCATTGCTTATAATCAAGGGCACTGTGAATAGTGAAAAATACAAAGAAATACTTTCTGAAGCTGAGCCAACTCTAAAAAATCTTTTCCCAAGGAGTTTTACATTTCAACAGGATGGGGCGGCATGCCACACTTCAAAATCAGTTTCTGAATGGAAAGTTTCTTCTTGGCCCGCTTATTCACCGGATCTAAACCCCATTAAAAATGTGTGGAGGTTAATAAAAAAAGCAGTGGAAAAGAAAAAATCAAAAAATTTAGATGATTTAGAGGTTGCAATTCAAGAAAATCGGAACAGACTTTCCTTGGATTATTTGAAGTCATTAATTGACAGTATGAATCGTTGTGTTCAAAAATGCATAGAAGTCCAAGGATATTGATCAATATATTATTTTAAAAATTAGGCTTTACTCTTTATTTTCTGTTGAAAATTTTTATTATTAATTTATTATTTTGAAAATAAAATTTAAAAAACTTGGTCTCATTTTTTTTGTCTGGAAGGTATATGATTTAATTTTTATTTTAATAATGTTATTATTATCTATTATGCTGCATCTGCAGTATCTGGAAAAAAGTCAGATGGACCAGTTGATAAACTTTTCCAAAAGTTCCAAAACTCCTAGGAAACTAATACATGAACTTGGATGAATATAAAATTAACAGGTTTCAATGAAGCAAGCATATAGGAACATTTTTAGAAGAAAAGGTTCACATATTACTTTGTTAAGGTGTTTAAAAAGCATATAGTTACAAATTTTAATTACATCTTATAGACTTTTGAAACCAAATTTTTTTTTCTTTTTTTCAAAAAAGTTTTCACATGGTGACTATAAGCATTTAATAGAGTTTTATTATGCAAGTTTTCTATCATTTAGTTTCTGTGGTCAATAACTTTAAAAAGTAAACAATCATCTGTAAAAAAATTTTAAGTTTTGAAAAAGAAATGTTCACTATTTTTTTAATTAAAGATTATCTACAAAGATGTGCTGCATTAAGCCCCTCCATTCTGGACAATCATCAATACTCATGCACATCTGTCACACAAATACCTTGAGAACATATTATAAGGAGTTTATTATCAATTGTTCATCTTTTTTAACTGAATAAAATGTTCATCAAGCTGATTTTCGAACATCTTATCCAAAGTTGCATTTGTTTGCATCAGAGTATTCTACTGGGACATATACAACATAAAAATAGAATTGCTAATATTTCATTTGCAACAAAAGTTATTTGGTGTAATTAGTAAAGATGAAACAGAAATAGTTCATCAGGTTACTGATTTTGCTGGGCTATTCCATGCAAGATGGTTTCTAAAAAATACCATTGACAACTTCTTCTCCTTGTTTATATTTATGTGCAATGAGTGACATCAAATATACATCATTAAATAAAATCGTTTCTACTGCTACAATTGAAAGTTTTAAAAATCATTTATGGTTTCTCACAAAACAAATTTTTGTACTTTATGTGATGAAACACTAGCCAATAACATTTTTAAAAAATTGCCAAAAAAACTACTTTTATATCCTAGACCTAAAGTTTCATGTTTAGAAAGTTTTCCAGGCATAAACAAAACAAAAATCCCAGAAATATGACAATTAGTTGGACCTCAAAGTTGTTTTCCCACTCAGCAGCTGTATCTGTAATAGAAATGGAGTGGATGCAAGTTAACTCCAAGTAAATACTTCCTTTTTTAGTCTTCATTTTTTATTTTATTTGGAATATTTTTTTTAGTCAGTCATTTTTTAGGCAGTCTATCATTTAAGAAAGAAAAAAAAATAAGTTTATATATATATATATATATATATATATATATATATATATATATATATATATATATATATATATAAATTAGTAAAAAATCTTTTTTTTTTTTCATTTTACACAGTGTTTCATCAATATCAATATAATAAACTTCAATGTATACCAATAATTAAATTACATGGAGATATGTCTTTAATACTATAATATATCACACATTTGAGGAATATGTTGACACTATTATAAAAAGAATCTTTAGAATTGCTTACTTCTGCTCTTTTTTTAAATATAAATATATATATTTTTTTTTAAAGGGGAATTTATTATTATTTTTTTGAGCTCACTTATTTTTACAGTTTTTTAAGAGAAACTTATTTTTATACCTGCATATAGAAATCAATTCTGATTTTTTATTTAATTAACATTATTGGTTCACATGTGTAATTATTTGAAACTTTTCATATAGACATAATTTGTATTTTTTGTTAATATTATTTATCACAGTGCTATTATAAGGATGGATCAATTCAATATTAAATCATCAATTTTCAACTCCCATATGTATTTTGACAGCATGATATCTTTAAAATTTTTCAAAGAACTGCTTATGATTTGCAAAACTTCTTTTCCATTCACCTTTTGTTAAGCCAATATGTTGTTATCAGGTACATTCTTAAAAGAAACATCACATTTATATACCACATTTTTTGATGAATATTTTTCATTGGGCAATTGTGCTTTTGTTTACAATTACAATTTTCCGTAACTTTACCATTTATAATTTTTTTTTAACAAAGCATTATGGTGATCTTTTATAAATCCTTCCATATTTTTGTGCAACTGTAGCTAACTTTAATTGTATTTCAATTAAAAATTTTTTGTAATTTATTAGAGGTGGGAAGTGTTTATCCAGCAATTTTAAAAAAACTTTTCCTATGTTAGTGGAAAAATTTTTGTTAAACATTTAAGTTCTGTTTTGCTTTTTTGTATTCTTTTTTTCAAAACGTTCAAAATTTTGAAATCCATTTTTTTAACTTTTTTTCTTAAAAAAAAGTAAATTTCTCATTATTTTTTTGTGTATACATACTTTAAAATATATACACTAAAAATTTTATACAGTCTCTATTTAAAATTCAGGAAATATCAACTTGCATACAGCAAAACAAAATAAATCTATTTCTCCTTCTTTTAAACAATAAAGTAACTTTTGAAATTAACAATTCCCAGCTTAATTATTATTCAGTTAAACACACCTTTTTGGATGATATAAAAGAATTATGCAACATTTATAGATCGAATATGAAAAACTTTATACTGGTTAAGAAGAAATTTAAAATTAGGGATTCAGAAAATGTAATTCCTGAAGATTCTCTTCAAATTTTGGTACAGACAGTTTAATGTCGGAATGCAAAGTAACAGCGAACATTTCTAAATCATTCTATATATATGTATATATATATACACAAATATATATATATACAAATATAGTTTAGTTTTAAAATTATTTTGTAACAGGTACTCCACTACGTCGAACTCCTCACAACCAAACGCCGATGTCAATAATTGGCAGCACTCCATACACTCCCGGTGCTACACCTTCCAATCTTATTTCTGAAGACGAAGCTGCTAAACTTCTACAACAGGCGTTTCCAGCCGGCTTTGATCATCAAATGTATAATTCGCTTACTATGACTCCAGCCCGATCAACACCAGGTTTTTCTACACCTGGGAGCTTTTCGATAGGGAATTTAACTCCATTATTAGATAATCGTCCAACTGAAGTGGAAGGTAGTTTTGCCCAATGGGCTAACCAAGGACAAAATTATGGGGGTAATTCTAATAATAAGTTTAAAAGAGATCGTGGTGGAAAGGTTGGTTTTCAAGGAAGGGGCGGATATCAAGGTAATCGTTCATTCGATCGTAATAGAAGTGACAATCAGCGAAATGACGGCCAAAGAAGACATCGTAGATAAATTCTAATACTCTTAACGAAGTTTATTAATAGTATTTTTATGTTAATAAATTATTATTTATAGCAGAAAAAGTAGATGAGTATTAAATACAAATTGTAAAAACAACAATTTTTTGTATTAAACAACTCGAATATCTATATATCTATACTCAAATATCTATATAGGAAATCAGCGGAAATCGAGCGAATTAAGTAACGATAAAAAAATATATTTTTAAATCTATTTTTTATAAATATACATTTATTTACGTATTTCACGTAACTTTCTCACGTAACTTTCTCACGTAAAAAATTTGCCATTTCTTGTCTCTGAGTTTATGTTGTTTTTTTTTTAATTTATTGAATAAATAATATCTCAGAAAGGTACCTGTCGTTATAAATATTATTAGGTGGTCTCAGAATAGTATTTCTAATATAAATAATATTAGTGGTCTCAGAAAAATACTTTCCAATATAAATAATATTACGGGGGTCTCAGAAGAATACCTTCCGATATTAATAATATTAAGGTTTATATAGTACAAGGTTTTATTTTTTATTTTGACTTAAAGAGTTATTTATTTAGGCCTTTTCTAAAATTTGTTTTGGAAAATTACTTTTTAAAATTGTTCATCTAGTTTTTTAAAAAAATTAGCGCCTAATTTATAAGCGATCAGGGATTATTTTTTTCCGGATATTTCCGGAATTCCGGATATTTTTTTAAACTTATAATTTTTCCGGATATCCAAAACATTTTCAATAAATGCAAGTTGAGGTATAGGGTAAGGTGGGGCAAGAAGCCCACCATAAGCAATTTCGTCTTTTTTTTACTGATCCAATAAACGTATCTAGAAATTTATGTTACCATTATTTCAGATACATAATAAACTTAAGTATCTAAAGTTATTTTCTTAATGGCTACTCAAGTTTTAATGGAAATATGCTATTTATAAACTGCTATAGAGTGGGCCTTTTGCCCCATTGCTGGGGCAAAACGCCCCTACCCTGGGTCTTTTACCCCAAACGTTAATAGCTTGAAATATTCCTTTTTTACAATAAAAATTTATTGCAACAATACACTTTTTACTAGTCACAATATATTTTTGTGTAAAAATGTCCAACAAAAGTTTTAGTAGAACACTTAGCACCATAATATTAGCAAGTAGCACCATATATGCTATCATATGACAATGGCAAACAGCACCGTAAAATTAATAGAGCTAAAAATTTATAGACTAAAAAGATAGCTATAAAAACTAATTTATAGAGCTTAAAAGTTGCTAAAAGCTAATTCATAGAGCTTAAAAGTTGCTAAAAAAACTAATTCATAGAGCTAAAAAGATATCTAAAAAAATAATTCATAACCCAAAAAGACAGCTAAAAAACTAATTCATACAGCTAAAAAACTACAGTAAGACTAGTTGAATTGATTATGCCTATTGGCAGTGAAAGCAGACAACAGTGTCATCAGGACCACAGCCGTCGTGGTACCAGTTGAGACATTCTGGGCATTGCTGCCAGTCATCAATGGGTGGTTCGTTAAATCTTTTACCACACATGCAACATAGCGTATCATCACTGTTAGTAACAGAACCTACACATCTTCGTTCTTTTGACTCTTTTTTTATCACGTTAGCATTCGATGCGTTACTTTTGATTGTCCTTTTTGATTTTGTTCTTACATATTGCTTCCTTTTCCCGGTTTCTTTGTCATCTCCACTTTTCGTTCTCTTGGATTTGTCTGCAATTACATCGATTTCGTCTTCATCATTTTCCTCATTATTAATTTCAACTACTACTTGCTTGTTCTGTTTTGTTTTCTTTGCATTTGCTTCAATTAACATTGCTTTATAAGGACTAGAAGTTATTACAGTTGCTGCTTCGGTTTTTCGTTTGCGACTGCGTACATTCTTTATACTTGGAATAGGGCTTAGTTCTGATATAATCTGCAATGCTTCGGATAAACCAGGATGATCAGCTGTTTTATCTAGTTGATTTTTATCGGACTCATTGCTATCTCCTGTTGCAATCCTATCAGTCTCCATCACATTAACCGATGCTTCATCATCCACTGCATTGCCGGCTTCTTCATTTGTATTCGTAGGTTCACTTGTTTCGTTTCTAGCTAATAATGCTCTTTCAATCATTTGGATGTGTTTAACAAGATCTTGTTCAATTTCAATAGAAAAAGTATTCACATGATTTCCTAATTTATTGCTCCCAACTTGTCTTACTTTGCCCTGCAAATGCCTTCTCAATGTCTTTCTTGAAACTCCGAAACTGTTTTCAGCTTTACGCAAAGACATACCATTTTTTACTGAATCTAAAGCCCGTTGTAAACCTTCTGCTCCATAACTTCCTCTTTTTGTCTTCCTTTTGTAATTTCTAACCATATCTATAAATAAAATAAAGTTAAAATTTGAACATTCTACTTAAATAATGCAATGGGTAAAAAGCTCAGGATGGGCCTTTTGCCCCATTAACAAACTGGGCTTTTTGCCCCAAAATAGTCGGTGCAAAAATTGATAAAAACATATTATTCTATGGTACAATGAACGTTATGTAAATAATCAATACATAACTTGTACGCTTACAAATACATAGACTCATTTAAATAATCAACTAAGTTTAACAATAATCTACAAAAAATTTTTAAAATTACGCAAAAAATCAAAATGTCCTATTCTTATTACCTGTCAAGTCTTCAATATTATGTTGAAAATTATATTTCTACTAAAAGTTCACCAAAATTCGCTCGCAACACTGTTACACATTTATCATTCATACTACAAAACAATAATTATAATATTTTACCTAGGTTCTTTATAACTGCAGGATGGGCCTTTTACCCCACCAGGGCCTCTTGCCCCACCCTACCCTATATTTTTGTAATATATTTGTTTTTTAAGCTTTTTCACTTAACACTGATAAAAAAAAATTATGAAAAGTATTTTAAAAAAATTAGAATCAACTTAGCTAAAAGCAAAAAATAAAAAAGCTTAAAAGAAAATAAGGGAAAACAAATACCGGATATTTTATCTAAACAATTTTCCGGATTTTTAAAATTTGACTAGGATGACCTATGAGCGATGCAAAAAAAAAAATTTAAGACAACACTACATTCGGTAAACTTTAGTTCACCGAATATAGTCAAAATAATTTTGAAACTATGGTCGTTGTTTTTGATGGTATATTTTCAACTTATGTTACTTTGAAAACGCAATTAAACTGTCGTAGAGACTTTATGACACCTCTATTGCATTCTTATTTTTGACATCCTTATAAGAAAAAAAGTAGGACTAAACAAAAACAAAATATGAAAATAGGGAGATAATTTAAACATCTTAACACTCGGTGTAGTTAAGGCGATTTACAAATTATTCGAATTCTTTTATTTGGAATTAGTATGGTTTTATGAGCATATTATGTCCAAACAAGAGCTTAAAATGATATTTTTTTTTTTTTTTTGTTTTTTTCAAAAAAAAAATTCTTTTTCTATATAATTTTCAAAACCTCTTTACTACCATAGTAATAGTGAATCTAAAGAACACTATTTTGGAGTCTTTAGATCAATTCTGCCCATCAGCGTTAACTTGAATTTAGTTTAAATCTTTTAAACAAGTCTTTTAATTTATTACTGAACCTAGTTCTAAACGGCTCTGACGTATACTGACTATAAATAGTTGTCAAAACACAATATTTCTATTAATTTTTACTATAAATACTAGAATTCCGACCAAGAAAGAGCTTATAATTAAAAATAATTGCCAATAAACAATCAGAACAGATCATATTGTTAAACTACAATGTTCATTTCACCTAAAAAACGCATTTATTTCAAATCTTATTAAAATTTGGACAAGCGATTGTGATTTTAAGAAGATTTTTTTTTTTTAAAAGAATCTTCGGTCTGGGTTTTTTTCCTATAAACATTTATACCTTATGATACAGCAAAATTTATTATTTTACTTTTTTTTTTGTATTTTCATAATTCATAGACCTGATCATTTAACGGAAATATGTCGTAGCCAACAAAATATTATACAGGCTCTATATTTTAAAAATGCATTAACTACACCGAGCATCACTAGAACTTTTGAAGAATGTGGCGTGATATATTAATATCGAAAACATTTAAGGAGATAAAAAAGTTAGAAGCGCACAAACCTTAGAAACAAAAAGTTAGAAACACAAAACAAAAAAAAAGTTTTCTTTAGATTGCAAAAACAAGATTAGTTTAAAGTTTTTTTTTTAAGTAAAATAAATCTAAAATACAAAGTCTAAATTATTTCGTCAATCGTTAACAAAAAAATTTATAAGGAAATAAGTAATTTTGATTACAAGTTTTTAAGTAGACACTGCATATCAGTAATCTAACTAGAAAAACAGTTCATATAGTTGGTAGTTTTCGCCCAAAGGTAATGTTAAAAAACAATACATATATTTTAACTTATAAAAAAAAAGAATTTATTGCAAAATTATCCAGAAAATCGGTTACTGCTATTTTTAACAAATACAAGTTCTCTTTTCTCTCTCTTTTTTCTTTATCTTTTAACAATTTAACCACCCGATTCAAAATCTACTTTTTCAAATACAAAATTTACATTTTTCGACTTAAAATCTACTTTTTCAAAACTCAAATTCAAAACTTTACTCTCAAATTCTACTTTTTCATTGCAAATTTACTGTACGTTGTGGCCTAACTTAAATGAAATTGAAGATTCGTTTTCTCCAGTTTTTGATAAAATATAAAGCAATATAACTTTTATTTAAAAACAAATAAAGACTGTTAAAGTTAACTCAATATACAAAGTTTTTTAATTGAACCAAAATGATTACAAATTAAAGATATTTTAATATAAAAAAGGAGTTGCACAAGGTTTTTGGATTTTTTGAAATAATTAAAATAGACTGAAATAATTTTTAATCAACCAGCCTTCATAACAATATAGGAAAAGAAAAGTTAAAACTAAAAATCAGTCGATGAATATAAATTTAGTATAAGATGGTAAATTAGATGTTTTGTAAACTCATTAATTTCACATTTATGGTTGGGAATTGCAAACTCTTGAGGGTATTTTTGTTCCCAGAATCAAATCACTTCAATATTTTACAAAATATTCTGTAAAAAAAAATTTTGTAAAAAATTGTTATAAAGAGCCTTGTAAAAATGCATATTTTTAATTTTTAGTTTAAAAATGTCATTTTCTAGAAAGTGAAATACAAAATAATAATTTTTTTTTATAAAATGACGATTATTTTTGAAGTTTTTATATAATTTCGTCTCTTTTGAGAGCCAACATGATATACTTTTGAAAAACTATTATTTCCTGTCTGATGTTTAAGGATCTTGGGCTACCCCTAAAAATATGTATATATATATATATATATATATATATATATATATATATATATATATATATATATATATATATATATATATATATATATACAAATTTAATTAAAAAAAAAAATTAATTTGTTGATACAGTCCATCCTAAAGGTATTGTTATGGCCCCATAGCAACACCAGAACTTTTGTAGCTTTTTAAAATAATTAATAGGGGTTCCTAAATGGTCATGAAAATTTTTGAAAAACGGTGTCAATTGCATTGGTGTCTTTCAAGTTCAAAAAGGTTTTAGACAGCAGTCCTTTGCTTCCATGATTATTCCTTTAGCCTTATTAGAAAGCCCTTGATTAGTAGAACCTAGAAATACATAATCTTTTGTATACATACATGTTAAAGGAGACCAGCATCAAGCAAAATCTGGATTTTTTTTAGAAATTACGATTATCCTCTTATATATAAATAAATCACGACTTCCAATTTGCTAGAAACATGATGTTTTTAAAAAAATAAGGATCTTAATTGCCAGCATGTTGGGTTGATGAAGAACCAATTGAGTAATAGTGGCAAAAACCAGCAGAATCAAAAGGAATATGGTGAGAAAGTTACAATCTATTTGATATCAGTCACCCCAATTCCAATGAACAAGTAAAGAACCAGAAAGATCGACAGTTTCTCAAATTACTGCAAAATATCTGAAGAGTCATCCGAATCTTCATCACTTCGGACACTTAACTATGTAAATCAGAATCATTTTAAAATATAATAGACTTTTTAATTTTAGTAAGTTATCAAATATCCAACATTATTTTTGTTTACATAAAAATAACACTTCACACAGAACTGCCCATATGTAGTAAAGTCAAGACAATCACCATTAAGGCATAAGTAGTTTTTTTTTTCAGCATCTTTGCTTCCAACAAGGCTGCAAGCAACCACTATTAGAGTTGGAAGTTACTGGAAAAGAAAAGATGAAGTTTGTAAATCAAGATAACGATTGACAGACGACTTAGAAGATTAAAAATTATATGAATCAGGAAAGCAAAATGAAGCAAGCAAATTCCAAAGAACTGATGTTCGCGTAAAAAAACTAGACGAATAAGAGTTTTTGGAGCATTTAGGAACAGTGACAGAAAAAGGACGAGACTTAATTGAATGACAAATAATACGAGAATGAATTTTAGTAGATGGCATTAGAAATGCTAGCTCTTTATTGCAATGACCATTCTATAATGGTCACTGCAATAAAGAGCTAGCGTTTTTAATGCCATCTACTAAAATTCATTCTCGTATTATTTATTTATAAAAAAGAGAATGTGATAAAGGTTGTGAAGTTGGCTGCAAGAGCAGCCAACTTCACAACCTTTGGTTACTACGATTGGAAAGAAAGGATTCAATAATCCTTAAGGTGTTACACACCGTAAAAAGAAAGTTGATAGAGAAGATTAGCATGCCAAACTTTATCAAAAACTTTAGAAATGTTTAAATATTATGGTTTTGGCAATTTTAAATATTATGGTTTCGGCATTAAATATTGAATAAGTTATATATGGATTTTTTCAATAAGCACAATTTTACATTTTGGTTAATTGAATTTTATTAACCAAAATATTTTTTGGTTAATAAAATTCTATATTTAAATTCATTTTTTATTTTCGCAACTATCTTACCCCTTGACTACATGTTTCAGCTATTCTTCAAGTCACCAAAATTTTCTCTCGTTTACGCTTTGATTTATTCTCTCATTTACGCTTTGATTTTTTTCTCTCGTTTACGCTTTGATTTTTTTCTCTCATTTACGCTTTGATTTTTTTATTGCTTTATTTCCACACAGGTACGTTCAAAAAGCAAGTACTAATATAAATTAAAGCAAAAGCAAGCATTAATAACTTTAATAAGCATATTTTGGATCTGTTATACTATTTTTTATATCGTTGTTTCTGAGTTTCACAAGTTATAAATATATTAATATTTCCGTTATAACTAATAAGAACAAAGTTTTTCCTTTTTTTTTTTGTTCTGCAAAAGCAATTGATTGCAACGATAGCAACTAAAATAAAATATGACTTAAAAATACGACGTAAAATTTCATAATTTATAACAATTTATAATCAAAACATAAATCTATAAAGTATTTTAAAAAGTAAAATTGCATATTATTATTAGTTTCTTCGATGTTAATTTGAATTAATTTAAAAAACTAAAAACTACTTATAAAATAAAGATATTCAAATAAAACATAAAAGAAAGTCTTCACATAAAATAATTGTAGACAATCTTGTCCTAGTAAATATATAAAAGAAGTTATTCACATAAAATTTTTAGAAAATAAAAAATTTTCTTTAAAACTATTTTAAGAATGAGAATATTTTCAATATTTTAAAAACAATCTGCATTAACTATATAAGGGAAGGGCTAAATCAATTGTTTGAAGGGGTGTTCGGTCTATTATTTGAAAGGGCGTCCGTTTTACTACTATGATTAGATGTGTATTTGTCCAGAGAATTAGAGCTTGAGTTTTTGATAAAAGAAGGTCGCCTTGGAATAAACGATTGCGTAAGTTCATGAGAATAAAGCATGGGAATAAGCGGTTTAAACCCATCAACCACATCTGCTTTAACAAGCTCACGTTTCAAAGAGTTTGCAAATAATGCTCCACGGTTTTGTGCCTGATCCGGCGTTCGCTTCACCCAATGTCCATACATATTGAATGTACAGCTGTCAATAATTTTGCGAATTTCCTTAAAATTATAGGGATTATTTAAAACTGTTTTGTATGTCATAGGAGCGTGTCTTTCATGGTATGTGTAGTATAACCGTTTCATTGTCAAAAGTGCATACACAAGAACCTAAAGAAAAATGGTGTAAGGATTTAAAAACTACCATATCACATCTAAGATTCCTTAGTAACTAATCATCCCATGATTTTATGCGTTTTTTTCTCAAAAAAACACACTCACGGAAAAAGTTTTAAATCTAAAATAAACTTAATATTACCTTTAATTTCAATTTTGGATGTTCTGCTTTTAATTTTATATCCTATTAAAATACAAAGAATAATAAATTTCAAACCGTTTAACTGTTTTTTTTTTTAACAATTATAATTAAAAATAAAAAAACTTTAATTTTCTTAAATAAAAAAATTCAAAATGTGTTAAGCAAATCCACCCTTTTCAAAAACACTGATTCTATTAAAGAGTTGAGAGAGGATTGTAACCACACACAAAAAAAGTAGCCCCTCGGCATTAGGGAGGCGAACAGCGTTTAAGTTTAAAAACTTAATAAAAAATAAATTTAGGGGAGCCCGTGACACCCGTTTTCAGCAACCATTTACATATATAACTTTTATTTATTTTGAAAAGAAAAGCCAGGGAAACCAAAGAAATATATATTACACATACTTAATAAATAATAAATTAAGGTGCCCGTGGCACCTGTTTTTAGGAGCCATTTACATATATATTTTTTTTTTGTCTAAAATCGTATAAAAATTTTTCACCAGATGAAGACACCGGATGAAGGCATATTTGACTAACTTTTTTAAGCACAAGAAAATAGTTCATTTTTATTTTTATAAATAACCGCCAATGCGTTTTGGATCCAGGGAATCAGTGACCTCGGTAATTATATATTAGATACTGTACTGTATATTAACAACATTTTAGTAAAAACAAATTATTCATAATTAAAAATATTGTAGTCTTTTCTCTGGAGCTGAGTATTTTTGTTTCCACAGTTAGAAAGATAATCATCTAAAATTTACAAACTAATAAGATTTTCAAATTTAACCTACTCCTATGCGCAATAAAATATTTTTTACCTAGAAAAATTAAATTAGTTTTCCTTTTCTAGGTTAATTGCCTTCACGATAGCATAAGAGGAACCTCACATGTCCCAAAGTCCCAAAAATGCCTTTTGAATTAAAATAATCGTGCAAAAAAAAAATAAATAAAAAAATGATAACCCTGATTTTTTATTTGTTAACCAACTTGACATTATTAAATTGCTTAAAAACAGTTTGTTGTATTATTGTTTTTATTAATACTAAACTTTTAGAAGAACTTTCAGCAAACTTTAAAAACCTTACTGAACAGCTAAGAACTTTAAACCATGGGTGAGATAAAGCTTCATCTGCAGTGTAACGTTGTTGAGGGTCTACAACCAGAAGTTTTCTTATCTGTAAACGCAAATGATTTGAAGAAATTATTCAGTTACGCTGGAAATTTTAGTAAAAATCTTATACCCAAGATAAAAAAATTTTTTACCAGATCTTTTGGACCTTCACTTATATCATCCCACTCTGGGGATTGAAACTTAAAACTTCCTTCCATTATATTTCGATACATAACAGTATCTTTTCTATGCCAAAAAGGACCTTGCCCAACTAACCTAAATATGTAAAAATAATAATGTATAATAAAGAAATCAAAAAAAATATATATACAAGAATTAAACACAATGATATTGAGCCACAAAAAACAAACATTACATCATGTTACATCATTACTTTATTAACATTACATCATATACTTACAAAGTGTAGAGAATCACACCACAAGCCCATCTATAATAAAAATAAAACATTTAATTATAGAGTTTTACTTTTCAATAGACTGTAAAATGTTTAAGTAGAATATAATTATCAAAGGTTTTCATTAAAAGTTGCAAATCAACATTTTTCATTTTGATTCAAAATTGTCAATCAAGACTAGACATACCAGACTTTCAGAATATATGAAAATTTGCATATTATTTTTAAGACCATTATTTTTAGTGTGATTTTTGACAACAGCTGTTGCCAATAATTTTAAATGTTACAAGGTTATTAATAGTACTGGTTTATAATTTTAATTATTTAAAATAAATAGCTAGTTTTGAGATTTTAATTATTTAACATAATAATTTAATTATTTAACATATAATTTTAACTATTTAACATAAATAACTAGTTTTGAGACAACTTATTATATAACATTAATACTATATATTTAACAATTAGACATCTTTAAAGATTGAATTCAAACCTTATAAATACACACTCACATTTATATATATATATATATATATATATATATATATATATATATATATATATATATATATATATATATATATATATATATATATATATATATATATATATATATATATATATATATATATATATATATATATATATATATATATATATATATATATATATATATAATAATTCTTAAATTGCCTATATTCTTATTACATTAAAAAAATTAAAAAGATTTTTCATAAAACTTTTTCAAATTTTTAATAAAATAAGTAATGTTAATAATAAATAAATTTTAATAAAATAAGTAATGTTGTTAATAAATAAATTTTTAATAAAATAAGTAATTTTGTTAATAAATAAATGGATAGATGGATAGCTAATGTGAAAACTTAATGACAACACTCGTCTTAAGATATTTTTCACTGCGCAATAAATGACACTTGTTATGTATATATTCTTGAAACATTAACGTTATAAACATATGCTTGTAACAAGTATTAAAACTAATTTTGTTTTGAATAAGCAGTTTTTTTAATGAATAAACAGAGTGCTTGCACAAAAACCAAAAGCTTTTGTAAGAAGCTGTTTAGAGGAGCAGCTCGCATAGCTCTCCATGTTTGTTTTAGGAGAGCTTTTTGCTGCTCTCTCACTATTTACTCCTGCCGAGGCCTATATATATACAGTAGCGTCCAAAAGTTTGCGGACAGGCAAAAAAATAAAGAATTTTAATTATATTTCAGCACATACTTTACTAAAGCCAACATATTATATACCAATTAAAAGGTTTTCAAATTTACAATTAGGTTTTGAACAAATAATTATTATCTAAATAATATTTTTAAATTGGTATACAAATCAACGGTCTTTGATAAGTTCAAAAATTTGCGGACAAAGCATTATTTTTTAAAATAGTTAAAATATTTCAACAATATTTGATCAAAATTTTTGCAAAAGCAAAATCACATTAGTTTTTTGTAGGATATCCTTTACAATCAAGAATAGCTTGGCATCTATGAGGCATAGAGTCAACTAAATTAATGCAAACGTCAATGGGAATTAAGTCCCATAATTCTTTGATTTTATTAAATAAATCAGCATAATTTGTAGGCTTAATTCCTTTCATTTGACGGTCAACATGTTCCCATAGATGTTCAATGGGATTTAAGTCACTTGATTGGGATGGCCACTTCAAAACATTAACTTTACTCTCTTTAAAAAACTCTAAAACCGATTTAGCTGTATGTTTGGGATCGTTATCCTGTTGGTAAATCCATCCTCAAGGCATTTTATCCTTTGCATATGGTAACATAATAGTCTTACATATATCTTTGTACTTTTCTTGATTCATATTCTCGGTAATTCTATGGAGAGGACCAACTCCATTTCGGCTAAAACATCCCCAAACCATTACATTACCTCCTCCATGTTTTACGGTAGGCAGTTGGTATTTAGGATTGTACCTAGTATCTACTGGACGTCAAACATACCTGATTCCATCGGATCCAAACAGCATAAATTTGCTTTCGTCACTAAAAAGAATTTTTGACCATTTTTGACTACTCCACTTTAGATGTTTTGATGCAAATTCCATTCGGGCGTTACGGTTTTTCAAGGAAACTAATGGTTTTTTAGCTGGACGTCTTCCAAACAAATTAGCATGACGTAAACGACGTTTTATAGTAGAAAAACTACAATTCATTCCATAGAAACGTCTCATTTGTACGTTTAAATCGACAGCTGTCAAACGGGGATTTTCTTTGCTTAGAATTACAAGCTTTTTATCCTGATAATGCATTGTTTTGCGTGGCCTTCCTGATTGATTTTTATTCTTTGTAGATCTAGTTAGCTCAAATCTCTTCATAATTTGTCCAACAGCAGACTTACCAACTCCATAAAGCTGTGCTGTTTTACAAAACGAGTTTCCATTCTGAACTGATCTCAAGATCAATTTTTTTACTGGAGATGAAATACATCTCTTAGATCCCATGATCTCAATCACTTATAAATAAAGTTTTGAAATTATTTCCACAAAGTATTTGTTTATAAAATCAACAAATTAGCTATTTTGTGGTGAAAATGTTAAAAGCGTTAGTTTGTCCGCAAACTTTTGAACTTATCAAAAATCGTCATTTTGTTAACCAATTTTAAAATGATAATTAAATATTCATTATTTGCTCAAAACATAATTGTTAACTTGGAAACCTTTTAATTGGTATATAATATGTTGGCTTTAGTGAAATATGTGCTGAAATTTAAGTAAAATTCCTTATTTTTTGCCTGTCCGTAAACTTTTGGACGCTACTGTATATATATATATATATACATATGTATATATATATATATATATATATATATATATATATATATATATATATATATATATATATATATATATATATATATATATATATATATATAGATATTTATATATATATATATACATATATATATACATATATATATATATATATATTATATATATATATGTATATATATATATATATATATATACATATGTATATAATATACATATATATATATATATACATATGACAATTATATATATACATATACATATATACATATATATGTATATACATATATACATATATATGTATATATATATATATATATATATATATATATGTATATATATATATATATATATATATATATATATATATATACATATATATATATATATATATATATATATATATATATATATATATATATATATATATATATATATATATATATATATATATATATATATATATATATATATATATATAGCTGACAAGCTTTAGATAAACTGAGTATTCAATAATGAAAATCAATATAAATTATTGATTTTGTTGAATGATTTTCTAGCTGTGGCAAACATTTACAAGAGCTAACAAGAGCTAGTTCTTTTTCATGACATGAAAAACTTGTAACTTAATTTAGACTTTTTTTGCTATTATTATTTTTTTTTGCTATTATTATTCTTTTTTGCTGTTATTATTTTTTAAATTAATAAATTTGATCATTTTGTTAAAAAGTTATACAACCTTTAATTAAAAAAAATACAAAAAATATGATTTTTTTTTACATTTTACATGCAACTTTTTAAAGTTTAATATTTAAAATTTTATTAAAAAGTTTTCTAATTTCATAATTTCTTATTTTACTTTATAAAAAAACAAGTCAATTATATATAGAATTATTATTAAAAAGTCCTGCTAAATTCAATACTTGTACTTTTTCTTCTTTTTAATGAACAATAATATAAATCAATTTAAAAATATAATCTAATTTGTTTTCCTCATTTTTACAATTTTACAGTTTTGATATATGAAATAATTTGATATTTGATAAATAGTTTAAAATGGTGAAATAATTTTTAATAAAAAATTTTGACATTTAAAGGCATCAAATGTAAAAAGTCTCTTTTAAACTCTAAATTTAATAATTCAATTTAATAATTTAGGAAATGAACAAATATACCATTAAACTTAAAACTTTTGTAGAAAAATTTCAAATTTTTTTCGAAAATTTTCTAGAAAAACTTCACAAAAGATATTTTTTTCAACACTTTTTAAAACAATTTTACAGATGATTTTTTGGAATTGAATTTAGTGTAACGAGGGGCAAAATGAGACACTTAAGCGCTAATATATCTAACACAGCCCGTCTAACAACTTTTGAAAAAATAAATTGATATTTTTCAATTCTTCTACGATCCTACTTGAAGTCTAAAAAGTATGAGTTGCAAAACTGCAGTAGTTTAGTCACCAGAGATCATTTATTGACAGCACCTATCCTGTCTCATTTTGCCCCGCATACCGAGGCAAAATGAGACAGATTTTTTTTTAGTAATTTAAATAAATAAAGTAAACAAATTTTAAACAAACTTACAAGTCAACTGCTGATCCATATCCTTGGGGGTCTTCTAATACAAGACACCTTAACACTTCTGGAGCAAAGTAAGAGGGAGTTCCAAGTATTTCTATATACAAAAAAAATTCTTCAAAAACAATTTTATTTGTAAAGACTCTTCTTTTGAGACCCAACATGACATTAAAAAAACAATTTTTTTTGGCATTTAACGATGCAAAATTCAGCTTCTCTTCTGATATTTAAAGACCTTTTAGAGTTGAAGAAAAAGTGTTTGGATGACACCAGTTTAGTTTAATTCTATTTTAAAATACTGGATGATAAGACTTGTACCTGAAACCTTGTACAAGCTTTGTGGCTCTTTACTGAACTTTTTCAAGTTTTTTTATTTCATTTTTTAAATTTGGATTTCAAACTGGTACACAAAATTATAATTTGGTTCTAACATAAGCTGTATATACTAAATGAGACAATGGACCAGAATTTAAATGAACCTTTTAGTTTTGACAACAATTACAATAATTACAATCTTTACACTTGAATGCATTTATATAAAAATTTGAATAGAAATAGTTTTGTTTTGAGATGTTGGAAATTTGATTTCGTATTTTTTTATTTAATTTTTATGAGTTTTTAAATAAAATATAAAGTTAAGAGTATATTGAATAAGAAAATTCAGACTGAAAGTACAAAGAATGCCTACACAGTATGCAAACGTGCAACAAAATCAGCAAATAATCTGAGCTGTGACAATTAAAAAGAAAATGTATCAAGAAAAGTGTACCCCCAAAGATTTTTGTGAGAGTGCGGTTGTGCCTCACAATGGGGGCAAAACCATTTTTTTTACTAAGTGTAATATTTGTGTAATAGCATTTTCAAAAAGTTAAATTTTTTTCTTAATTGCATCAATTTAAAACTCAATGATCTGGTTATTGAAATAAACTGTTAAAAAAACACATTTCGTTTTTATTTTCATATAACAAAAATCCAAACATAATGGTGGCGGTTATACCCCCCACTTCCCCTATACAAAACAATTAAATTTCAAGTTTAGATTCCATTACTTCATGAAGTAAAGCTTCACAACAAAAAACATGATAAAATATGAAAAGGCTTTCCTTATATATTTTACAACTCTACTTTTACTTTATTTCAACATTTGTCTTTTTTTTTGTTTTTAAAATCGTTTTGGAATAAGCTTTGTCCCACACAATTTGGCCTGTTAAAATAATGGCTTCAAGGGAACCCTACATCAAAAACTTTATTTTGGAACCAAAGAGACATTGAGGCATCCATTACATATAAAATCAAAAACAGGTAATATTTTGTTAGACATCCAAATCACTCCTGTTTTTATTGTTATAGTTATTTCCACTAAAATCCTTCTACAGTTTGTAGTCAAAATGTTCTTCAGAACTTTCACTACCCTCTAAACTATTTAACAATTGCGTAGCTGAATTTTGTTTTATTATCAGCTGATTTTTAAAAACCTAGGAGAACTTTTTTTCTTTTATGAAATACTGTTATCAAATTTGGGCTGGTTTTTTTAATGATGTTCTTTTCTAGACAAGGTTCAAAAGCGTGTTGTAAAAGAAGTTGGACCTTCTCTAGCTGCCAAGCGAGAGCCTCTATCCCATCATCATAAATTTGATCTATGAAACTGCTGAAAACTAAGAAACTAATAAAACAAAATATGTTCTATAAAAAAATTGTTGATACCAAACTGCTAATACTATTTGTACTAATACTGATTAGGGTGGCTCTTAAAACAACTTTTTTGAGAAAAACCTGCTCTTACCCCCTAAATGTATTCTATCTAATACAAAAACACTAGGTTTAAAATTTTTTTGAACAAAAAATATTTTTAGGGGTAGCTCAAGGCCCTCAAAAATTTGACGGGTCCCTAATTTTTTGAAAAAAAAACTTTTTCTAAAGTATGTCAACCTGGTACTCAAAATAAGCAAAATTTTATAAAAAATTTAAAACTGAAAATACCTGAAAAAATTTTTTATAAAAATAATTTTTTCAGGTATAAATGCATAAAAACTATTGTTTTTAAGCTGAAAATGAAAACAATTCAATATTTTCAGGTTTTTTGAGAATAATTTTTTTAGGCATGTCTTTTATGTAAATTGATTATTATTTTTGAAGTTTTTATATAATATCGCTTCTTTTGAGTACCAGGTTGACATACTTTAGAAGAACTTTTTTTTTCAAAATATTAGCGACCCATCAAATTTTTGAGGGCCTTGAGCTACGCCTAAAAATATTTTTTGTTCAAAAAAATTTTAAACCTAGTGTTTTTGTATTAGATAGAATACATTTAGGGATTAGGAGCAGGTTTTTCTCAAAAAAGTTGTTTTAAGAACCACCCTAATACTGATACAAAATAAGTAAACTTCAAATAAACCTCAAAACAACATTTAAATCTCATATTTATATAGATATTTTGAGTATTATAAAATAAGTAGCAAAGACTTCATTACCAATCACCCATAATAAACACTCTAGTAAATAAAAACACTTTAAAACAAAATAATGCATCTCTAAAAAATCTTTCATAAGTAAATTAAATTACCAAAAAGTGGTTGAGCATTGGTCGTTATAGCTCCAAATCCAAAATCTGATAATATAACATTGTTATCTTCATCAAGAAGTATATTCTCTGGCTGGAATCAAATTTAATATATGTAATCTGTATATATACATACATATATATATATATATATATATATATATATATATATATATATATATATATATATATATATATTAAAGATTTATATATATACATATCTTTAAAAGTCATTACTTGTTATACAATATGTTTATAAATATATAAATTGATTTTAATTAAAAAGACATACATATATATATAAATTGTTTTTATTAAAATCAATTTATATATATATATATATATATATATATATATATATATATATATATATATATATTATATATTATATATTATATATATATTATATATTATATATTATATATATATATATATATATACATATATATATATATATATATATATATATATATATATATATATATATATATATATATACATATATATATATATATAAAATATATAAAACTTTGCTTTGGAGTTGTAGTCGGAGTCAGAGTTGGAGTTGTATTTAAAAAATTTCAACAACTGGAGTCGGAGTTGTTCTCAAAAAATTTCAACAACTGGAGTCGGAGTCGGAGTCATTACTTTTTTTTTACGACTCTACACCCCTGATTTAAAAATATTTTTTTATATCTTTCTTAAAATCTTTAAAAAATTAGTTTTTAAGGTACTTTTAATTATAAGTTGAAAGTTAAATTAAATCTTCCCATGATTTAATTGCTTTATTTTTTTTGTTTGTTTGTTTCTATTTTTACAATGAATTGTGTAAAAGTTTTTTTAACTTGACTTACTAATTAAAGCATAAAATAATAAAAAATTGCGATTTTATATAGACTATATAGACTACGTTACTTTCTTTAAACAATATTTTTCTTCAACTTTTTGAAAAAATCTTTATAAAACTTAAAAATATTATATATATATATATATATATATATATATATATATATATATATATATATATATATATATATATATATACATATTTTTTTAAAAATTTAATTTCACTTTTTAATAATTAAATAAATTTTGTTTATTTATATTTCATTATTATGAATCAATAAAAGTAAATTGTAAAAGCGTTTTGCGTAACTTTAAACGTTTTAAAAGATAAGTTTTAGAGTAATTTTTCTCAAATGCAATTAAAAATGTAACAAAAAGTAATTTTAACTTCAATTTTTTATAGTTTTATTTTAATGCTAATTTGTTTTCTTTTTCGTAATTGTTTTGCTTATTCTTTAATTTTTTTCTGTTTTATTTCAGCTTAACGTTTCTTTCTTTAGCGCATTTCTGAAACATTTAAATCATCAAACATTTAAACAGTCGTGGTCAAGTTGTAAACAAAAATACATTTGTGTGGTCAGCAATAGCGTTCGATCGCACGCCTTTCCTGTCCAAGCTTTATTTTTTAAAATTTAATTCTTGTCAGTCAAAATGTCCAAATAATTTATAAAAATGATTGGACAATCTGAGGTTTTAGCTGGATAATATCTAGTGTCTGATTGTTAAATTGAGCTTTGACTACCCCTAAAAGAATTTCATTAAAACTTGTCTTAGTAAATAAATAAAAACTAAAAACCTATTTTAGTAAATAGCATTTTTATCTGAAATATCTAAATAACTAATTATTTTAGGCCTTGAAACATTGAGAATACCTTAATGTCTCTATGAACAATTCCCTCATCATGAATACCTTTAACAGCTTGCAGTAATTGCCATAAAAATTTTCTAAAAAAAAAAAAAATTCATTTATATTAGAATTCCTGTCAACAGCTCTCACTAAATATTTTCATAAACAAACCCTTTGAGAAAAGGCATGCAATCACTTGCCTTATCTGATGACGCATATAATATGTTTTGACAAACCTACCATATCTTTGCTTGTTTTGATAATTTACAAGTTTTAAACATACGCTGAAAAAATGAAAAATTAAAAAAAAAAGCAATTTCTAGACTAAAAAATGGAAAATAACGCTTAATGAATGAGAAAATAAAAAAATTTAAATTAAAAAATTAAATGAAATAAATTAAAAAAATATAACTATAAAAATATCTTAATTTAGAAGTGTTTCAATAGACTTTAGAAAAGACTAAAATTATTTTATTCAAAGTTATTCAATCAAAAGTTATTTATTCAAAACTTAATTACTTTGAAACTTAATTAAATATAAATTTTGAAACTTTGATATTTTCTAATACCTACCTATTTTCTGTTATTCTTTTTATTTATTTTATTAATTGTTAATTGTTTCTCTTACAAGTTATGGTTTTTTACAGTTTATCTTTTTTTTTTAAGTTTTTTTTTTTAAGTGCATTTCTAAAATGCACAAATTATCATAATATGCAAAGAGCCAAGGTAAAATTGTCAAAACAAAATACTATAGGATAACAGCACATCTTTCCTCAGAAGACATAAATATAAATTATTTTATGACATTATTTTATGTGACATCCAAATAACACTTTTTCAATGAACATTTTAATGTTTATTCAAAATCATATATATATATATATATATATATATATATATATATATATATATATATATATATATATATATATATATATATATATATATATATATATATATATATATATATATACATATATACATATATACATATATACATATATACATATATATATATATATATATATATATATATATATATATATATATATATATATATATATATATATATATATATATATATATATATACACACACATATATATATATATATATATATATATATATATATATATATATATATATATATATATATATATATATATATATAGGCCTTGGCAGGAAGCGAGAGCTTTAGCTCTCTCTCTTGCCCACACTCCTTTAAAACGGTTTACCGGAGCAATTTACAGCTCTTGCAAAAGTATTTTTTCTCTTAAAAGTATAATTATAATTGTTATTAAAATGAAAAATGCAAAGTCAAAAAAATTTAATTTACTGGATAATAAACAGTCACGGTTTTTGCAACAAAAAAAATTTACGTCTAAAGAATTTTTACACAGTGCCATAAATGACATTTGCTATGTGTATTATTGTTACATTAATATTACAAACATATACTTGTAACAAGTATAAAACCAAATTTTGTATTTTTGTATTTAGTAAGCAATTTTTATATAAATAAACAGAAAGCTTGTGCAAAAACCAAAAGCTCTTGTAAAAAGCAGTTTAGAGGAACAATTTGCATGTCTTGCCATGTTCTTTTTAAGAGAGATTTTTTCTGTACTTGTGTTCATTTACTTCCTTATTATAACATTTCATTCATATATATATGAATGAAATGTTAATATATATATATATATATATATATATATATATATATATATATATATATATATATATATATATATATATATATATATATATATATAAAGTACTGATCAAAATTGTAGCACAAATGTAAAATAAAAATTAAACGATAAAAATTTAATGGAGGGTTGAATGAAATGTTATATATTTTTTTTTATCTTAAGATTAACATTTTGCTTTTTACAAAATGGAATGAAAATTGAAAATATATTTAAAGTTAACATGTTTTAAAGTTCACTTAGGAATAATACAGAAAAATAAGCTGGTCAAAATTATAGCACAAAGTTAACATGTTTTAAAGTTCACTTAATAATAATACAGAAAAATAAGCTGGTTAAAATTATAGCACATAGTACTAATTTTAGATGAAAAACAATAAGAATTTGATTTAATATAAAGAAATGTTGGATCATTTAGCTCTAAAAATAAATACAATTTGGAACAGAATTTACCAACTAATGCAAAGATTAATTGAAGTCCCAAATGTCCCAAAATCCTTTATATCTTTTATGTTGCTTATGTTTTTTTGAGTTTTTGGTCAGTAATTGACCAAAGATTTTTAATTGGATTTGCATCTGGTGAAGTGGGTGGCCATTCTAAGAGCCGAATATTCTTTATTGCAAACAGTTTTTTTGCATTGTGACATGGTGCATTGTCTTGCATAAAATAACAATCTTCAGCTTCAGAATCAAAAAGAGTGTCGTTATAATCAGGTAATTCAACAATAATTTCTAAATAACAAGAAGCATTCAAACGACCTTTATAAAACTTCAATAAACCATTTACAGAAAAACATTCCAATACAGAAATAGTTCCACCACCACCTTGTGCTTGTTGTTAAATAACATAGTAAATCGTTTTCATAAGGAAGATGACATACAAACTTAGGATTCTTTCTAGTTATGACTTCAAAATGTGATTCACCACTAAATATTACATGATGCCATTGATTTCTAGTCCGATCAACATAGTTTTTACACCAAGTGAGTCTCTTCTTTTTCTGAGTCTTATTTTGATAACAATCTCATTTCTGTATGTAACTTTGCAACCTTATTTCTAACAAACAACGACGAATTGTTCTTGCACTAATGGTTTTTTCTGTTGCAGCATTCAACTCCATAGCAATTTTTCTACTTGAACCAGTACAATTTTCTTTAGCAAGTCTCAATATATAGCGGTCTTCTGCATAATTTTAAATAAAAATTCAATTTTATCAGACAAATTTTCTGGAAGTTTTAACATGTTTAGCAATATCAACAATATTAAATTGCTGTTAAAGTTTTTTACACGTTGTTGCCGCTCAGAGCTCACTGCTTAGCAACCCATTGCATAAATTATGTTTTAATTTTAAAATTACTGAAAAAAACTTTGCCAAATTATAAGATTTGCTATTTTAAATAATTAACTATGATGCTATTAGATAAATAAAATATCATACACAACAATGCGTCAATGCATTTAACTATACACACTGTCAAAATTGCGTAGGATTGTGAGTGTGCTATAAATTTAACCAACATTTTTTGTATATGTTTGTAAAATTGTAAGATGAATAAACAAAATTTTTAATTTTATGTGCTCATTTTAAATGACTGATGTAAGCGCATTTCAAAAAAAGCAGTACCTCTCAAAAATATGATTAATACATACAAAAATTTTACATAATCTTATTTTAAGAGGTTGTGCTATAATTTTGACTAGTACTTTATATACACACACAAACATACATACATTCAGCTATTATCAAATATTAAGATGTGCAAATTAACTAACTCTCAAACATAGACATTTAAAAATTTAATGCAAACTCTAGGAAATGGTGACTATTGCCATTTTGTTAATACCATAAACAGTGCTACCTGTAGCAACTTTTTTTTAGTATTATTTAAGAATATACTGCACTTAAATTTTATTTTAAACTCAATCCAAATAATAATGTATTCATTACAAACTGCTTATGTTTGTGCCCATGCAGGATTTTCTATATATAAAGGCTATATATGCCTATATTTTACAATATATTAAAGGCCTATAAATGCAAGATTTTATCATATATGCTGGATGTAAATATATATATATATATATATATATATATATATATATATATATATATATATATATATATATATATATATATATATATATATATATATATATATATATATATATCTTAAATATACAGTACCTACTCAAATTAATAGACTCAAAAGAGAAATGTACAGATTTAGTTAGTTTTTTGGATTTTCTTTGAAGGTAGGGATTAATGATGTTTAATTTTTGTTGCTTATGTGCAATTTAACTTCATGTCATTCATTTTTTGTTTTTAATTGTGAAAATTTATAAAATATATTTAATTTTGAATAATATTTTCAACTTTATAAAAGTTATGGTAAGTTTAAATTATATAAAATTAAAAACTTTCAGTTAATTTTGTCTGTCATAACTCAATTTATATGTCTTCTTTAGGGACCTACATTATTTTAGACAGCCTTTACAATTTAAATAATAAATTTTCAGTTGTTTTTAAGTTTTTTTTTTTAATTGTGCAGTCATATAATAACTTAATTAATGTTGGAGTTGTTTTAGGATTAATATTGGGTAAATCAAGTGATGTTTCCTCTAGTAAATATGCAAAAGTAACTGTCCTTCTGCAAGATACAAGTTACATCCAAAGAAATATTGCCAAAGTTATCAAAGTTATCATTGCTACAGTTAGAGGAACAAATTCTAAACTTAAAATGGAGGTTAAATTAGAAGCGCAGAAAACATAGTCTGTGGCAGAAAAAGAGTTAAAAGTGCTAGAGATCACAGAAAAATAAAAAAAGTTATTGAACAAAATCGTAAGATACCATCAATAAAACTGAAAATTGGTTTAAAAGACCAAGGAATAAAAAAATTCACTTGAATCTTTAAGAAGGAGAAGTTATGAGTTTGGATATAAGTGTAAAAAGCCATTGAAGAAGCTGTAACTTACGCTTGGAATGAATAAAAAACGTCTTGCATGGGCTAAGAAGCACTCCTCTTTTTCTCAAGATGACTAGAATAAGGTAAATTTTCCATTAGATTTCTCCTGAAACATAAGCAATTATTATTTTAATATTACAAGTTTTTAGAAGATATTTTTGCATTAATATCTTATCCCAATTCATTTTATTAATATTTGAAATATTTAAAACATCAATATTTATTACTTTAGTCAGGTTGTATACAGCAATGAATCTACCTTTGAGACTTTGGAAAAAAAAACCACATTCGTCTGTTGCAGACCAAAAGAACAACAAAGCCAAAATGTACTGTAAACACTGTAAAGCACCCAGGGTTTATAATGGTTTAGTCATGCATATCGACCAGGGGTATCAGTCAAAGTCTTAACATTGTACATGGGATGATA